AAGTCTGACTTGGTTTGAAAGTCTATTTAAAAGCTTAATTAAAAGTAAGTATTTTAAATAGGCTCACATTTAAGTTTTAAACTTCTCAAACATTTCTTTTGGTTAAAAAATGTAAGATATTTTTTAAGAGGTTAGATGTTTAAAAATGTAAGGCATTTTTAATCTTTTAAAGTGTAATCAGTGCTTTTTTTTCAAAAGTATTCTTACTAAATAAATCACTTTATATTTATTATAAGGTGAAACATCCTATTAAATAGGGGCAAATATAAAAAGATATGGTTAGTTTGAAGACAAGTAACTACTTTATTTGGGTAAAATTTAATTAAAAATGCCTTATATTTTTGAACGGAGGAAGTGTACTTTAAGACCATTATAATAGACAATATATAACTTAATGTATCAATTACAATATATAATAAAAAAAAAACTTACCAACTACAATACAATATAACAATAAAATAATAACATTAAAATTAATATATAAGTTTAATATGATTGAAAATATAACTAAAAATAAAAAAATTAATTAATTAAAAATTAAATAATGAAATTGATATGTTTGTGATATATTATAATACATATGTGTGTGTATAAATATATAGGCTGGCTTGTTAAATTTATAAGTTAAGTCTTAAATAAATAAACCTAATTTATTTAATTAAATAGTTCCTGTTAGGAGCCTGGCCTCTGTTAGGAACTTAACCTTTGCCTATTTTTACTCCTAATCGATTCTCTTCTCCACAGCTTTTTTATTTTTCCCAAAATAGAGAGACTATGATGAAGCCATCATAATTAATCTCCTCCTGATTTTCAAATAATTATTAATCTCACAATCTATGGGAGGATCGAATAAAATCCAACGACAAACATCAAGGCTACATATAGTTAATTACAATCCAGAAAGTGGCCATCTTCATGCCAGTGAGCGGAGCACTTGCCGACACTCTCCCTTTTGCAAAAATTATATGTAAGACGTGTAAATTTTATCTTTCTTTCTTTTTAAAAAATCTGGTTGACTTTTCTTTCGCCATCCCCACCACGAGTGACAGTTCTAGAGGTTAACTCTTGAAAGGTTAGCAATGGATCACTTTTCATAAAAAAACAAAAAACAAAAACAAAAACAAAAACACTCTTGAGTGAAAGCGGGGGCCAAAATTAGTTTTAGTATTTTTTTCAAAATTAAAATAAACAAAGTTTATAATCAAATATTTAACTCTTCAAAGATCTATGTCTAACAGCCAAGGAGGGAGAGCCCATCCTGGCCCCTCACCAAGAGACAATCTTGATCCACGATGGACCTACACACACACACACACATATCTTAGTCGGGGCAGCTGTTCCCATAATTTCTTTTAAATTTCTTTAATAAATATATTTGTAGCGTGTGCGTGTATCTCATACTCTAATCTCATAATTAGTTACAGTGAGTGATAAAATTATTTTCTTATGCCATCTATTTTTTTTTTATGTAAAGTATAACAATTGTTGTTGTAGGCAGTTTTTTGAACAATGATAATGGGTGTAGTTGTCAAACTTTTGAGTTAACTTTTTAAATTTAACTTTTTTATGTTTCTAACTCACATAACTATATCAATTTACTCATCAATTTAAAGTAAATATAAATTTAGTTAAAATTTGTGAGTTTAACTCCACACTTATCATTTTTATGATTCTAACATGTAAAATCATGTTAATTAATTTATAAACTTAAACTAGATATAAATTTTGTTAAATTTATTAAACTTATCAATTTTTTACCAATTTAATCAAGTTAAGCATATATTACATAAAATTTGATTTATAGAAGTGATAGGACCTAATTTAAATAAAAAAACTTAAAAAACAAAAACTAATATTAATAAAAAATAAAAAATATCAAAAATAATTTACTCTATTTTTAAGTTTTGTAAGACAATTTATCAATATAAATAAATTTAATTTTAATAATTTATATTTAAAATATATTTAAATTATTATATAATCATATACTTTTAATAAATATTTATTAATGAAGATAAACTCTTATTAATTTACAATTTAAATTTGCCACCTAAATTTATATTTCTGTCACAATTTACTTCTTCTTCTTTTGTTTGAGCCAAACTGTCACAATTTACTTCAATTCGCAGGTTTGACAACTTTAATAATGGGGTCCATTTTTTGTTTACGGTCAAAAAGAAAAAGAAAAAGAAAAGGAAAGTGGAACAAGCAAAATTGGTGGAAAAAAATATTAGTAATGACATGGTATTTGCATGCAGATAAAAAATACTTTAATAAATAATAAAAAACTGAATGTGGGACCCTTAATAAATCATCAATTATGTTGTAAAGTAACAAACGACAATTTTTTGAACAGTGATAATCGGGTCCATTTTTATTTATGGTCAGAAAAAGAAAAGAGAGAGTGTGGAAAAAAGAAAATCGGTGAGAAAAATATGAGGAAGAAACATTAGGATGTAGATAAACAATACTTTAATAAATGATAAAAAAACTGAGTGTGGAACCCTTAATAAAATAAAAAATTTAATTTATAAGAATAATCACGTTGTGTGAATTTTAATTCAGACAAAATAACAAATTATATTTTAACATGAATTGTTCCTTGCATTTTTAATATGTGCTAGTAAATAAATTATCTATATTTTTAATATGTACCAAAATAATAAATTGAAAAAAACAAGACGTTTATTAAAATAATTTTTTAATAAATGAAGCATATGATAGAATAAGTTATATATGAAATGAAATGTCTAGCTTTCAAATGGGCATGACGTAAAAATTAGAGACGATTTTACACCTGCCCCACAAATTTTTCCATCCTTTGTAAATTAACATAGCACCCTTAAAGTTTGGGTTCAAAAAATAAAATTCATAGAATTTTGCCCCTAACGATTTACCAAATGAAATTTTTTTGAACATTGCTGAATGAAAACTTTGGTCTCCATGAATAAATCATAGCTTTGTGCTTGGTTAAAATTACTCTCTCCATATTAAATTATAAAATACTTTTAAACAAAATTTTACATACCAAGTATTTAAAAAAATTACAGGAAAATAAGGCACATTGCTTATATTGCTAGCATGCAAAAGAGTAACAAATATTTTAAAAAATAAAAAATTCAACTTACACGAGTTTTAGAAAGGTAGGAGTTTGAAATATTAATTTACACAAAATAAGTATTTTTATAATAGAATAATCTGTTACTTTATTTTTATGAATACCAAGTACTAAATTATAGAATAAAATAAATTTTTATTTGTATTTAAAGTATATAGAAGAGTGATAAAATTTAAATAATAATAAATTATTATTTAAAATTATGACATAAGGAACGTATATGGTAATAAATCTTGGATTTGAATTTGGTAAATGTATTTAATACATGTATTGAGTACCTGTATCATCTAAATTGTTGAAATTCACATTAACAATTTAAATAAACTCACTCATTCATTAATCTCAAGTGTAATATAAGTTTATCATCATTGATTTAAATCTTAACAGTTTAAATGATATAAACGCTCAGTGTCTATATTAAATAGAGTTGTCAAATCCGAATCTACATAAATCTTTCTTTTCTTCTTATATTGTAAAGTGCTTCATTCTATCACTATAGATCCACAATTTCCTAACCAATGTATTCCCTATTACCCTTTAATCAAAAAATAAAATGAAAACTAACATAAAATTCAGTCCTCTGCCAAAAATTAAGGAAAAAAAATCCAGGTATCAAAATAAAAAACAGCTACCAAGATTAAATTTAAATCAGACTTAAACGACAAAAAATCCAAAAATAATAAAAAAATCAGGACCAAAACAAGACAACAAAAAAAACCTAACATTAAACAATCAGAAATAAAATCAAAATAAAAATGGAAAACTTAAGAGTATAGCATATCCCAAGTAAAACAAAAAACAAAATAGGAGCACAAAATATTCTTATAAATGCACAAAACATCAATAAATTGATAAAGAAAAGAAATAAAGAAGAAGATGAAAGGAAAATTTAAAACAAAAAATGCAGAATCTTGATATCCAGTCTCAACAAAAATATGATGGGAAGGGAAGAGCACATGTGATGCAATAGGGGAGTTCGATGAGCAGATCGGAGCCAACAGCAGAGGTTTAACAGTAGATCCGAGTCGATGGGACATAGATTCATATACAAGGAAAGGACAATGGAATCAAAGCGAAAGAGAAATGGAGAAAGGACGAAGGAAAAGTTTGAGAAGGTGAGGTTGGGAGATCCAGATCCTCTCAGAGGCATTTTCCCTCAACGTGTCAACCTTAAATCTTTAATAAATATTCAATGTCTCATATTTTGTCACATTATCCTATGTAAAATAATTTTGTTAACCCAATCTAAGAATTGAAATACAAGTGTATGGTGAATGAGATCAGTAGTAATTATTAGTCCTTCAACTTCAAAGATGCCTCTCAACTCTACTGACTTAATATCAGTTTCTTTTTTAAAAGTTCATGTTGTTGATGGCATGAAACGCGAAATCCCAACATTGCCTCAATTTAACGTAGTTTCAGATTGTCTTGTATTACTGTTAGGCTCAAATATTGAGAAGAGGGCCCACTACATCAAATTGTAGGCCTAACCCATTTATCATGTTGGCCCCAAAAAGAAAAAACATTCATCATTTCAATCTGCTTTTCAAAAAAAGTTCATTGTAACATTTATTATTAATATCTTTCCTATTTTACTGGAGGAAAAGTTGAAATATTTTAAAATTAATTTAATGACCTAGTTATCCTTTCTTCATTGTGATGAGATGATTGAACGAAAAACGTAAATCAACTAAAATCGCAGGATGATCAAATAACTAAAAAACATCACATGAAAGGTCCTTCAAGTGAATATTAGCCTCATAATTGCAGGAGGACAGCAAGGCTTAGATATAAGCCATTCAGTCCCCAAGGAAATATGATATTTTGCTGACTGATTTCATCATTGGCTATTTACATCCAGAATGACACGAAGCATATTTAATCATGAAACAAGATTAACCAACAAATTAAATGTCGTCGATGAACAGAACACAACAAACTAGTTTGGCAGAAATTAAACATTAAAATGTAGAAAAAGCTATAAATAAATAAATAAATGTATGTCATGGGCAGCCCCAAGAGGTAATGGCAGCAAATCTGCTCTACAAGGACAGCATAAGGGACATCCAACGAAGGAGCTCCTAGAGGAAGGAGAACCATCAACGTCAGAGTAAATTTATATGTGATGTTTTACTTGGAACCATGCAAACACAGCAAGTTTGCCTCCAATCGTAGTAAAACATCTCAGCAATTATACAAATGTGATACAATAAATTGGGAGGCTCAAAACATACATACATACATACATACATATATCAGGTATAACAACATCTCAGAATTGCAGAATAACAGCAAAGAAATAAATGACACTATTACCTAGATTCATTGCCTACAAACATGACCCAATCTACTGGAGGAATTCCATCACTGAAAGAACGAAAATTTCACAAATCTGAAAGACTATATCTGGTAAGTGAAGTGAATATATAGTCATTGGGTGAAGGCGAAATATCAAACTTATGTCTCAAAACATGCATGGCATATTCAATAAAACGGACACTATTATGACACGATCAAAAACCAAGCATGTATATTGAACAAACCTTAAGAAAAGTAATCTTGTCTCTCATGCCAGTCCCACAAAAAGCAATCACAGCAATGAGTCATGATCTGTCAACATCGATGATTTTCTTAATTGCGACGTTAACTTGGGAAATCGGCAAACGCGAAGTAATAATCTGTAACTACAAATTGAATAGGGAGTTGGTAATTACCTCAATCACTTCTCATTCCGAGGAGGAAGAGACCGAAGAGAAATTTTGAAGTCTGATATTACAGAAGCTTTTGTGTCGCCCTAAAGGAGAGGGCTGCGAATATTTATAGTATATTACTAACTAGGGTTTGGCCTTTTTTTTTTTTTTAAATAAATAGTGAAACGACTGGAGTTTTGGCGACTGAATTGGCAAAAGATAAAAACCAAATAAAATAGTGGTTTTTTTGGTACATAATAAAATATTAGTTTTTGCTTGTTGAGGTTGTTTCTGTGGGTCCAACACTTATGTGAGTTGTTATATTCCTTTTTTAAAAAGGCATTAAATTTTATTTCCAACGAAAAAGATAACAATTTGAGTAAATGTGACTTATTTTAAAAAGATAAATTAAAATTTAAAAAAATTAAAGAGGGAAACATTAAAAAATGAAAATGAGAATAAAAATAATTAAGAGAGAAAATATCAAAATATAAAAGTTAAAAAAACATCATTATATATTATATAAAAAAGAGATAATTGTGAAAAAACAAAACAGAGAGAGTAGGGGAAAAAACAAAGCCATTTATCTTCCTCCAAATTGCAAGCATGCACCAAGTATATAAAATTAAGTATATAATTTTTTTCTAATAATGATATTATTATTATTTTGGAGTATCGATCTATATAAATAATTTGAAGGTAAAAAAAAATCTACATGAATAATGTAGAATGACATTGATGACTCTTTTGAAGCACATGATATCTTTCCTTCAATTTAAGTTACTTTCTTTTCTAGACAGCAATTTCAATCATCTATACCGATATATCTGTGCCTGTTTGAATTTCAGTTGAATATAATAGATTATGAAAATAATTGATTAAATGATAAATTTTAATCATTATTAATTATATTATAATGCAATCTGTCTGGATATTGTTTTTTTAAAATTAATTTTAATAAAATAAAAAATATTTAAATAATTTATTTAGAATTAATTTTAGCTGTATAAATTATCATAGAGGACATTGCATTTCAAAAATAAATTTTTATATAATATTTAAAAATTAAAATATATTATTTAAATTATATATTTGATTAATTATAAAAATTTAAATTATATTAATATTAACAATTTTAATTTACATAAATAAATAACTCAATACTCCTTCTGTTAAAAAATATAAGATATTTTTTGAGGAGTTGGATGTTAAAAAATGTAAGATATTTTTAGTCTTTCGAAATGTAATCATTATTTTTAAAAGTGCCCCTATTGATAATGACTTTATATTTATTGTAGGGTTTTTAATAGGGGTAAATATAAAAAGATAAGTTTAATTAAAAAGTAGGTAACTACTTTATTGAAGGGTGAGATTCAATTAAAAATACCTTATATTTTTTAACGAAGGGAGTATATCTTAGTTCAAATAAATTTAATAAAAGAAAAAATTTTAATTCTTAAATACTGAATATCAATTTTACAATAACTAATGAAGATAATAATGTGCAAGTTAATCTCTAACAACATCACAAATATAAGTCATATCTAATGAAAATGTTAAGCACTGCTTAAAAATTTTGGCAACATAAAAAATATAGCAATGTAACAAATGATGCAAAATCGCTCTCTCTCTAAATTTTTGCAACAATATTTGTAATGACCTTCAATTTTAAATTAAATTAAATTAATTTTTATCTATCAATTAATATTTTATTTAAATTAGTTTTATAGCAAGTCCTAAGTAAAGGGTGGTGATTGACATGAACTTATATTAGTAACTTTTTTGAGGATTCAAAGTTTGAATTTTCTTAAGAAAAAAATATAAGAGAAGAGAGTTTGACTTTAATTTTATTAAATTTTGTGTTTTTTTTGTAATTTTTTTAAGCCTTTCTTATAATTTTTCCATTTCTTTGAACAATGCAACGTAGAGGCTGACTTTGGCAGCTTTGGGCAAAAATCAAATTTTTTGATAAATGGGTGTTTGAATAATTTTGACAAAAATTAATTTTTTCTCAAATAATCGATTAAAAATGTTATCCAAAACACGCTGTATCTAAATAAAATTAAGAATCTAAAGCACATGTGGCAACATATTATGAAGCCATGTCAACTCTACCTTTATCTCCCATAACGACACGTGGATGCTGGAATATAATTCTGCACAAATAAAATTTAATTTATCCAGGAAATTAAGTTTTCTATTTCTTCCGTTAATTAAGGCTTAATTTTTCCTTTATCTCCTCTATTGACAAGTGGATATCCAGGTTGAACAATTTCTCAATAAAATATTTTTAGATGCAATCAAATAATTCATGATTTAATTATTTAATTTATGAAAATTATAGTCATTTTATTTATGGAAATTGAAATCATGCATTGAATTAATTTATGGAAATAACTATATATAAATAACACTATGAAGGGAATAAGTTGGTGGCATAGTATATAGTCATTCTATTTATGAAAATTGAAATCATGCCATGAATTAATTTATGAAAATTGAGAGAAACTTTTTTTATTTTATTTTTGTGAGTACAAGTCACTAGAGGTTGCCATTAGTAAAAACTTTTGAAATAATTTTCATTATTACCTTGACTTTATTGAATTCGTTAATTGATTTATTGTTGGCATGATTGATTTTTTTTTTTGAATGTTGATATATAAAATAATTCATATATCATTATTAACACACCAATTTGTGGGCTGCATGAATAAATTATTATTGCTAAATCATTAAGTTATATAGCCGTTTGAATTGCCTTAAAAGATTCCATGATTGCTATATATATATAGATAGACAGACAAATAGATAGATACATAGTGTAGATGCATTTGCGTATTCTCTTCAACCCTCTATCGGGATCGAACGGTAGCCCTCCATTGGGACCATATTGCTGGTGATGATTGGAACCAGAAGGTCAACTTCCACTGAGATTGGATTATCGGCACTACCTGGGGACTGACTGCCCATGTCGACCAAGATCGGAGTGCAGGTGATGATATTGGGACTAGATGACTGACTTTCACATAAACCGCATTGCCGGCACTGACCTAGACTAGAGTGCAGGCAAAGACTGAAATTAGACTACTAGCGTCGACTAGGATTAGAGTGTAGGCAATGATCAAGACCAAATTGCAAACTTCTACTTAGACCAAACTGTCGACATTGAGAAGCCTTTTGTCTTAAACTAATCCAATCTCAATTGGTGTTGGTGATCCTATCCTAGCTAGTGCTAGCAATCTTGCCCTGGTCAATGCCGGCAATTCGATCTCTATGGAAATTGATTGTTTAGTCTTAGACAAGGTCACTAGTTTGGTCCCTATCAAAGTTGTCAATCCAGGTCATGGTGGGATCCGATCATTTAATCTTGGTTGACATCGGCGATACAGTCCCAATAGAAGTCTGCCGTCCAACCCCAGTCAGCGGCCCGATCCTAGTCGCCATTAGCAATTTGGTCATGCTTGAAGCCAACAATGGGCTAGTCAAATTACGAAAAAGTTGAGGTAGAATTTGAAATAATAGAAGTTTAGAAAAGATTTCAAATTATAAAGAGATTGAGGTAGAACTTAGATTTAGACTTATGTCAAATCCAAATCTATACATTCTTAATTACCTAAATAATGAATTTAGCTCAAATTAGAATCCTCATGCGAACAAAATGTATTATTGACAAATCACTAACAAATATCAGTTCAATTAATAAGTTGACCTATAATCCATAAGGTTGTGGGATCAAATCCCGTTGTCAATCTATAAGTGTTATTTGAGACTAGTGGCATGCTTGAGCTGTGGTAAGTTCAAGAACCCAAAACCCACCTAAACTTTTTTGAAAAGTACCTATGTAAACTCTCTTTGAGCTTGAAGGCATGTCCTAATCTTGATAAGTCCTTGAGATGTAACGCACTTAAACTTATTTGGATAAAAAAGTATATTATTAAATCTTGATATTTTTGTCTAATCATTTTAATGGTACTATTATATATTGAAGGCCATTGTTCAAAACTGATCTCTTTGACATCAAAGTTGTTGGCTTTTGACAAATATTAATCCAATTGATAAAAATTTAGCCTATAACTTGCAAGGTTGTCTAATGAGCACTAGGATCTCGTGTCCGTCTTAGGTGCTCAGCACTAAGGTGCTCATTAGACAAAAAAAAATTTGAGCCATGCAGATTTAACTTGACTTTTTTATAATTTTTTTGGTAAGTATGGTCATCATCAATGTGTATAATACTGATATAATTTGAGTGGTCTAATTTAATATTATAATTTTTTAAATTGACTATGTACATATACTCTAGATAATCTAAATTCAATATTAAATTTTTATTTGCAAGGTTCATATTTAAAGTTTTAATTTTTTATTTTGATAAATACAATATTTAAAAATAAAAAATATATAATCTTCTAACTATAATTTTTAAAAAATTATAAGTTAAAAATTTTAAATTTAGACCATACAAAATACATCTAGATAGTCAATATATAAAAAATTTAATATTAAATTGGACTCTCTAAATTAAATATAGACTAGATTAGTCATAAAAATTTATTAAAACTTTTTTTATAATTTTTATAAATTTTTATTTTAAAAAATATAAAATAAAAATATTAAATTAATTCTTTAAAACTAGATTGCATCACCCTATGATAAGCACCTAAGATGAATTCCACCGTTTCTTGTAAAAGTTGTGTGCTCTATCCCCATCTCCAAATACCAAGTCCTTCGTCCTCCCTTTGCGTGAAGAGAGAAATCGACATGCAAGGAAAAGAAAACACACATGTATAATATAATGGGAAAAATTTATATAATTAGTCTTATATATTTAAAATATTTATTTTCAATTATATCAAGACATATTTATCTCTCATAAATTATTTATTTTATGATAAACTCTTATTATTAATATTGTTAACATATTGAAGTTTACTTCTTTTGATTTAATTGGATAAAAATATTATTAAGTATATAAAGCTAAGTACCTATATATTATTTTACATATGCACATGATAAGTTGATTTGATAATGACATTAAACTCCTAAAACAATGAATTTACAATAGTCAGGTTCCCAATAATT